ACACCAACCCACACGGGCTATAGTTCTAAGACAGCGATTGTCGACGTATTTGTTCCGCTGGTCGAACAGGCCAAGTCTCACAGCCATACAACAAAACAGCTCGCACTTTAGCTTGTTACACACGTCTCTTGAGATCCAGAGATACACCAGTCTGACGCTATAGGCGTCTCAAATTAGCAAACGCGACTCGGGCATCGCAGGTTTGTTCATTGACCTCATCTGTCACACCACAAGAAAAACTAATACAACTTCCAAGATACGTAAAACGCTCCACAACTTCCATAGCCTTTACCTAGATTGAAAGTGATGTCTTCAGTGATAGCACGTCAACGAGAATGACTTTACACTTTGTGGATGCAAAGTGCACACCAGAGGACGGGATGACTTTGTTCAGTTCATCCAAAAACCTGCGCCTTCTCTTTGAAGATGAGAACGATGTCGTCTGCGTACTCCAGATTGACAGGGTTTGCATCACAGGTTATTTGAACACCAGGGTTTTGGAGACCCTCCAGCGTTCGTCTCATTATTTCGTCGATCACAAAGTTGAACGAGAATGCAGAGAGTGGGCATCCATGACGGACACTAATTTGGGGCGAAGGTGGCTCAGTGGTAAGAGCGCGACTTTACCGACCAGAAGGTCCGTGGTTCAAACCCGACCTCTACCTCTCGACTTCCCCTGTCTAGGCTTGGGCAATCTGGCAGTATCCCAGCCCTCGCGCTTCCTTTGGGTGGCATGGCAGCTAGGCAACTTAAGGCTGTTAAAGCTGAACGATTTTACACCACTTTGTTTACGACAGCTTTTGGAGAGCTCGCCGTATACTCTCACACATCCGGAGGTTTGATAGTACAAAGAGCGTGTTATGTTCACAAACTCCCGGGGCTTTCGTTGGTTGGTGAGCGTATCAAGAAGAACAGATCGATCAATCGAGTCGAATGCGCCTCGGAAACCCAGGAATACTAGAATTGTGGGTCGCTTATATGTGTGGTGTTGTTCTAGCACCTGACGGAGTGTGAAGGTTTGGTCAACTCAACCTTTACCAGGCTACTCTTGAGCCAGTATCCCGCGAGCCACCGTAAGGCGACGAAGCACAATTGGTACCAACAGTCTCGTCACGACCGGGGTCAAGCTGATCCCCCTGTGGTCACCTCAATACACGCCCCTTTTTTGAAAATGGACACTATCAGCTACTCTCCCCAGTTGTCTGGGATAGACTCCTTTTCCCAAGTGCAAGCAAACAGATCAGACAAGCGCTGACTGAGGATTTCACTCCGTCTTTGAACAATGTGGGTGGGAAGTCATCCGGACCAGGAGCTCGGTGGTGCTTGAGAGAACATATGCAGTCGTAAACCTCTGAGGCCATAGGTGGTTACCCGTTCACGTCCAGGGTTCTACTTCACCTGTGGGTTCTAGATGAGTGCTGGCTGTTGGCGACGACAGTTGTTCGAAGTATTCAGCCCACCGGTTGGGGCGTTCTTTATTCAAGATGGTCGTTCCATTCTGATGCTTGATGGTTTCACTCGCAGGTGGTTTCCGGGGGCCGGTCGCACGAATCAACTGAACTAATCTTTGGGAAGTACCAGCTTTTTGGGCCTCTTCCATTTCTTTGACTTCCTGTGCCCACCATACTTCACGGTCAGCTGTCTCGTATCCAACCGGAGACGACCACTCAACTTCGCCTCAGCGGCTCTAAACGTACTCAGCTGAACGTTCATGTTACCAACTGCTACAACAATGTCTGCCCTTGTAGCTCATTGTGAAAGAATGCGCAGAGCTTCATAGAAAATTGGCAGATTCAGAGCTAGAGTGCGTTGGGGTGTAAGCAGACAGGACACAATGCGCATCTCTTTCACAGCAGGAATCCAATCAATTAAGGGCGCTTTCGCGCGATAATTCAATGCCCACCCTGGTGTATGCAGCTACATCAGCCTTCGCATCACTTGAAGTGTGTAGCTGCAAACTGGAAGAAAGCAAGAGGGCAATCATTTCAAGAATAGTCTCCGATTCTTGTTTCTCACAGGTGGCATGCATCAGCGAAGTAGAAAACCCAACGTACGTGGAAGGTCCGCTTGCCTCATTGTCCGAACACTAAAGGCAGTTGAGTAGACCGGCCTTCGGGACTTGAAAACTGACTGGTGATTTATCTGTTTAGGTGTGTTAATGAAGTTGCAGATGGGAAAAGCATCCTTACAAATTGACAAAACCGCCCTATAGTGTTCCTGATTCCTACAGTATCGTTCACAGATTATTTGGGAAGGTGGGGTAGGTGGCTGCGCACTGGGGGCACTAACAATAGGGGGACAACGCATCAATTGATGCGTTGTCAGTAGACTTTAAATATAGGAGATTGGGAGGAAATCCGTGCATTGAAACCAATGTCCCTGATGTACGAGTGCCGTTGAGGGCGCGACTGGGCCATGTCTCGCAATGTCTAACCATTGCTGTGTACCGTCTTGGAGTCCCCATCTCAGGAGATGGCAATGATCAACGCAGATGAGTGTGCTGGTAATGGCTTCTATACTTCACTGTCAAGTCGTTGTTTGATCCCCCTTGCTCGGCAACACCCTTCGCGTGGCTGTGCGAAAAGAGCACTTGGAGGAATTCGGTTGACTGACATGAGGAGCACGTTCCCAAGCCAGCGCAACCTATGGGATGTGATCAGTTCACCTATCATTTTTTCCGAGACTCTCCGTCATACTTCAGAATTACTGGTTTGGTGTTCCCATCAGACTCGGGCAATCCTCCGAAGACATCAGTGGTCAAACATTGAAAGTCTTTTAACACCCCCGACGCGTAGCAACCAGCTTTCTGATCTATATAATAATGTGCAGCGTACCGCAGCATTGTAAACTCGACTCTTGATGGTTAAGCTGATTTCAGGCCCACGATACAGCTGATGCAGTTTCACGAAAGCTCCTCTGGCCTTCCCAGTTCGAATGGGAATATCAGCTTTGGCTAGACCACCGGGACTGATACAGATAAAAAAAATCATTCAGCTGTAGCACCTTTTCGATGCCTAGATGCCTGCCACACGGAGGAGGCACGAGGGCTGGGATACTGCCAGGTTACCCGAGCCTAGACAGGGGAAGTCGAGAGGCAGAGGTCGGGTTCGAACCACGGACTTTCCGGCTCTAACCACTTGGTCCAACTCGCCCCATGGACAAATTTGTCTACTACGTAAATTGGCTCATCTGCTAGCCTGATATTAGGGTTCGAGCATACCCAGTCTTACAGTAGCACTACACTTTACAGGTGTGAAGCGCATGTTAAACCATGAGGCAGAATTACGATTATTTACTGTTGCTTGAATTGCGACCGCTTAAGATCCAGGAAGAGCTGTGTTTTCTGCGTACTCGATATCTGTGAGTGAATGCCCAGAACTTCACACGTCCGCCAAAGTTGGCGCCTTAATGAGGGTCAAGAATTTATGGGGAGTACCTTTGGTCCGTATACACTGCCATAGTGCCTGAAGGTTCACAGAGTCAAAGGCAGCTTTCAAGTCAAGGAAGACAACGATTGGTGGTCGCTGGAGGCGGTGTCGCTATTCTCGGAGGGTGATGATGTGGTCGATGTAGCGTCTTACAGCACGGGGCCTAGCTTGGTTTCACGGGTCTGTTTCTCTGTATTCAGTGATAAGATTAAAGGCCACAACTACCATGCTACAGTGGTTTTCAAACCGCGTATGTGGGGCGAGATGGATCAAGTGGTTAGAGCACGAATTTACTGACCGGAAGGTCCGTCGTTCGAACCCGACCTCTACCTCTCGACTTCCCCTGTCTAGGCTTGGGCAACCTGGCAGTATCTCAGCCCTCGTGCAACCTTCGGGTGGCGTGGCAGCTAGGCACCGGAAGGGTGTTACAGTTGAACGAAACCGCGTACGTTACCGTTTTTTGAAGATAGGATTGACTCTCGATATGCCCATTATGCAGGTACTTTCTCCGCACTTCATGCATCAATGAATTTTGTCAGATAAATGTCCAGGGATTTTCCGTCTACTTTGAAGAAGGCTGAATACAGACTGTCCGCTTTTTGTATCTTCTCACGTTTCGTTACTGGCATTTCGTACTTTATTTCTTCCGACGAGCGATTAAGGTTTACACTCCATTTACCCGTTTGCACTATCTCCAGGGGCTGCGTTGCGGAAGGCCAGTTTAGCTATTCTTCTAAGGGTTGGACCCACCTTTCCGGCCGACGTTTTTGCGATCGAATTAATGATCCGTCTTTTTCACTTATTGTTTCACTGATTGTTGCTTTCCAAGGACCTGTGGATCATTATCAGTTGACCTACGGCATGGCTGTTTCCGGTGAGAAGAACCTTCTTCACCTCTTGAGCTTTTGATGTCCGTTAGTACTCTTCACTATTTGGTGTTTGAAGGATTGGCGTGCGCCGTTGTACTCATTGCCTGCTGGTATGAATTTCCTGGCACCAAATAAGACCTCGGCGGTATCCAGTGGTCGTTTGCTTTTATCAGAGAATTCTAACAAACAGCACTGGACGCATAGCTTGTTTCACATTTTCCCATGTTTCATCCACGTGCTCGCTCCAAGCACACTATTGGTTTACTGCAGTGTTGCTAAACTAGCTCTGAACGATACTGTTGGGCTATGGCAGTTCTTCGAAGATGGTTGATTGACATACTTCTTGCTTACTTGTGAAGACCTGAAGGGAAGCGAACCGTCAGGGACGCACGCACCGTGGCCTGATTGAAATAAATTTGTTCACCCAAGAAGGAACACCAATCTTGAATTGTGGCTCTCCACCAGGGGCTGATGGCCACTTGATCCAACTAAAATCATGGTGGGTTTGTGGTTGGTGGCCGCCAGGTTATGCGATGTGAATGTTCATACTGAAGGTTCGTGCTGGCCAGTTCATCATCATCACGCAACTGAAGAAACCGTTCTCCGTTGTTTGTGTAGCGAGCGTCGACTCCGAATTGACGCTCAGTTGTGTTCAGACGACCGACATGGGCATTTGTATCGCCCGCAAGGATCGCACCGTCAGTGCTTCTTGCACGACGAATGAGTTGCGATAAGTCTCGACAGAAAGCATCCTTATTAGCGTCAAAAATGCAGTCCGTTGGGGTATACGCCAACACTACACAGAGGCATTGTTTTTATATCGAGGTATTGACCCTGATTGAGCTGGATAGCTGGACGGCACAAAGACGACTGTTCAGTGGGATTCAATCCAGAACAGCGTGTTCAGCTCCGGCGCTGAGTGCAACTCCCACGTAATATACTCCGCGGGTCATCACTTCTGGATCATCACACAAACGGAGGGAGAAATGTGAAAGAACTGAGTTCGTCCTTGGCGTTTTGAGGTACATAACCACGCTTGGGTCTTGCATCGGTGTTTCGGAGAAACAGTATACATCTATTTTAGGGGGGTATACGGTCGCAGCTAGCATTTCCTGTTTGCGTTGACAGAGTACGGATGCTTAAAGTTTCTTTCTAGAAAGTCTCTCGTGGACTTAGCAAGGTGTTATTTTGTTCATTTTTAATGGGCTGCGGGGTGTGCAAGGCCCATCGGTCAAACAACTAACAGTCAATTAACCCAGCAACGTCTACTTGTGGTGGGAAGGAGTTTGGCAGGGACCTCGGTGGACAAAGAACTGTGCAGGCAGATGATATTTCCTGGTTGTCCGGTCGAGGGTTTGTTCGAAGTACCCCTCTTTAGGCCTTTGATTCAAAAATAACTCACAATGTGGTGGGAGGATGTAGGGTGTTTTTCAGACCCTATTCCTAGCCTCTGACTCCAAAGTCTCACCCGTGAGGCAACAAGCAGCGGGCTTTTGTTCGGGATCGATGATGACCCGGATCCGATGACTGACCTGCTCAGCTGCAAGGGGTTTGCCTAAGTCGACGCTGCTGATGCGGCTGCGCACAGCAGGTGCCTACTGAGCAACATCAAGGTGGTAGCTTTAGTTCATTTACGGTCAAAACCGTCATTCCGGGTGCCGGGACCTGCAGAGAGAATGCTCACACTGGGGCGGGGTAGGGGAGAAGAACTAAAATAGTTGTTAGTACCTGCATGTTATCGCTTACCTGCGCTACCGTATGCAGCAGTGAAGGCGACCCAGCTGGTGGCAGCACGCGACAACCGATGTGGCATGACAGTATTCTTGGTCGTGCGATTCATGATTGGATACTTTCAAGACCCCCACAATTAGGTAGGTAAATAACGCCATCAGTTGAAGCGTTTGGTTCAAATGCCTAACTGCATGGTAATGGGCGCATTCGGCCTACCACAGCAGTATTGCAAGTTTTTAAGAAACGAGTCACCATGTCTACTCCAGCCGGCAACCTGGAGGATCAGCAGGTTGTTCTTTAAATTTGTATCCACTGATCAACCTGCGGATGCCAAAGTGAAATCCTCCAGTACAGTTCAGTGGATTATAGAGGTGCGCAAACTTCCACACGATAAAGTCCAGGCGCGTTGCAGCGAAACTAGCTTAGTGCAATTGTAGAGGCCTCTATCGTAGGGCGAGACTGACCTGGTAGTCTGTTGACAACTTCAAGTCCTTCACAATGAAGCAGTGCTATTGACCGTCCATTCTCCGTCCATTCTGTAAGGACCGCGTACTTGTCGTGCAGTGGTTGCAGCTGCCACAGTTTCGTTCACCGATGATTTGAAGAGCTGGGGTAGATAGCTGCGCATTGGAGGCGGGAGCTGATAAATTGATGCATAATTACGGCACTGTCAGTGGACTGTCAAGCGGGGGGGGGGGGTTGGGAAGGGAGCGATGCATTGAAGTCAATAGCTTGGATGCACGAGCGGAGCGACATTGAGGGTGCGAATGGGCCATGTCTGACAATGTCTCCAACAGTTATGCGACAATACACCCCGCCATTCGAACATCACGGCGCTGCTGTGGGGACTGGTGTTGATTCCATATGGATTCGCACGTTTACTGAACGTCTACTCATGTTCCATCTCGCTGTTTCGATTTCCGAGGAAGAAAATGCATCAAAGGAGTTCTCCTCTGGGGTTGTCGCGTCTTTTTTGGCGTTCTAATTTCTGCCTCACGATTCAACAGCACGTGCCTTGGTGTATCGTTCATAGCTGCTGGTGATACGCGAATCGAAGTATTGTGACCGTTTTTTGGTTCGTCAGATTGTGTGTGTATTGTCGCATTAACTTGATGTAAAAATTAACTACTATTCCACATGTAATTTGTAGCACGCTTCCGGTGTCCTCACGTTATGATTGTTACGTGGCCTTTACTTCTGTCTTTTGAAATAATCTATACACAGGTTGAAAGTCTATTCGCTGGTCAGGATTTCTACACAAAGATCAGTCGAAAAGAACTGGAGACTGTTTGTGCCGAGGCGTTTGAGCAGCTACGTCAGCCGTTCGCAGATGCACTGCAAACATCCAACCTTTCAGTCTCTGCTATTCAGGAAATCGTTCTCATGGGTGGTGGTACTCGCGTACCAAAGGTCCAGTCCATCTTGATGGAGTTGGGTGCCAGGTAATCTTTTATATGGCGGTTATTCTGTTACTTTTACATTTAGTGTAGTCAAGTCCGACCTTCCGTCACTTTCTAGCGCCATTGGTCATCGAATTCGAGGTGATATGTTTCGGCCTATCTGGTCATCGTAGTCAACCGGCCGTGATAGTTTATGAGCATGAGCCGTTTCACCGACACTTATGGCACCGAAGTGACGTGAGTTTGTCTGTCAAGGGAAGAGTTTAACTGTGGTGGTGTGATCCATACTGCTTTATCGATCAGAGAGGACATATGGAAGATGTCACTGTTTGACCATCGGTGCCTCCGAAGCATTGGTGAGGTCTGGCGGGCCAGTGCCTGACCTGGCTACGAAGTATAAAAACACTAGCCAGTAAACCTAGGAAAGTACCGCCTTCCTGGATGGGGACCCTGGGACTCAAATCACCATTGGTTAATTACACTGGCAAAAATGGCCCAATCGCGCAGTCAGTGGCGCTCGTGCGTCAAAGTTTTCGCCTTCAATGTACAGCTACCCAATTTCTGAGCAAACTGAACATGCCTTCGCCTCCAAGGCCTGGTTGTTTGTTCCACTTTCCCGTTTTCCGGTGATCGAAACTGTAGCAGCTGGAAGCAATGTGCTTATGACACACGGTTTATGGCTAATAAATTGACCGATTGGTTGATTGTCATACTTGGCATAACTCTACATTGTGATTGAGTTTGAGGTTACTCAATGGTTAAGGCGCGAACTTACTGACTGGTAGGTCGGTGTTTCGAACCCAACCTCAGCTTCCTGACTGCTCCTATCCAGCCGGACACTGTCTCGGTCCTCGTGCTCCCTTCGGGTGACATGGCAGCTAGGCACCAAAAGGGTGCTACAAACTGAACGGCGATTGTATTTTCTACATTATTGGTGATAAACTTTTTCCTAAACAACGTTCTCTCGCTTGCCGTGTAATGAGTGAGTTCATCTCATGAACGGTGCTAATCTGGAATGCGGTGATTCAGTTGAGGGGTCAAACCAACCGCCCATTCAGGCACATTATCTAGGGTAAACATATCAAAGCATACCTAGGTTAAAGCTAAGACCTTGGAAGATGAACCTTATGCCATATTTTAAGTTCTAGAGCGATTGCCTCTGTAGCAACCAGCACATTAGTGGACATTGAGCGTATAACTTTCCTTAGAACTTAATGCCTTTAATTTATATCACCACTTCTTATGTGGTGTCCTGTCGCTAGTATGACTCTAGAGAAGAAAACAAATAAATCCTATCTGTCTTTAAAGATGATGATGGTAAATCGGGAATGATATCTAGAGTAGGTAATGATAATACTGGTTCAGCGGGGGCGGGATGGCTCAGTAGTTAGACCGGAAGGTTCGTGGTTCGAACCCAACCTCTGCCTCTCTCTACTTCCTCTGTTTAGGCTTGAGCAACCTGGCAGTATCCCATCTCTCGTGCTTCCCTTGGGTGACATGGCAGCTAGGCACCGAAAGGATGTTATAGGTGAACGATTATCTTTTTATTATCTTTTTACTGGTTCAGCTGTAGCACAATTTCGGTACCTAACTGCTATGCTACCCGAAGGAAGCACGACGCCCGAGATACTGCCAGGTTGCCCAAGTCTAGACAGGGGAAGTCGAGATGCAGAGGATGGGTTCGAACCACGGTCAGTAAATTCGCGCTCTAACCACAGACGTAACACACTACCCGTAAGATCGGTGAAAAATCTCCGACTGTGTTGTGTTCAATACGTCATGTACAGGGTCAAACCCTCTGGCACTTTGGATGGGTTCCCATAACCTGTGAGTCGGGTCGGTCGATGGCTCTTGTGAGACTGCTCAAGGTTATTAGTCAATGCGAACAATTCCTACTACACGTGATACTAAATTACTTCGTCTTCAGCGCTACTCTGAAACGGTTAGGCGGATTTGATCGCATGAGAACTCCGGTCGGGGTAAATGGTCTGATACCTAAGAATCCTGTTAGCGTCCATATCAGAAAGAGTCGTCATGGGGAGGATCGTGGGTTAGGAAGGTTCCTCTCAGCCACCGCGATGCCGCAAACGTAATTTGGAATCATCTGCGAATCGTCTGTGATAGTGAATAATGCTAATACCATTTCAGCTGTTGCACCCTTCCGGTGCCCAACTGCCATGCCACCCGAAGGACCACGAGGTCCGAGATACTGCCAGGTTGCCCAAGCCTAGACAGTCTGGAGTAAGTAATCGCTTGTGGGTGTCACTCACATCGTCAAAGCTTCCCGCATAGATGGATACAAGAACTGGTTTTTCTCAATGGATTCAAGGATGTGTTATATGACATCAAGCGTGTTAGCGACTGAGTTCGACATGGTTCATGCATAGAGCTACCGACCAAGAGGTGCGAGATTCGAAACCTACAACTTTTTGGTTGTTTCTGTATTGGTTAGTTTGACTGCATCTCATCCATTTTGTTTCATTCGGTTTACACGGCAGCTATGCACCGAAAGTGTGCCACAGCTGAACGATTCATTATGTTATTATTTTTCCTCTTTTTACTTGTCTAAAGACCTTTCAGTTCCTCTTCCGAATTTATGGTTTTCTGTCCATGAACATGACAAAACATTTTTAAGAGGCTCGGTGGCAGGCAGTAGGTGTGTTAGGCAGGAATCCACACGGATCCCGCTATACCGCGCGTCTTCAGGCGCTGCTACGGCCGATAAGCCTAGCCCGCACGAGACTGGCCAAAAATTCGGGACTCTTGTAGGTCCGGCATCAAGGCGAGATCTGATTGGTCGAGAATCTGGACCCAACAGCTAATCATGACCCAGTATTGGCCAAATGCCGGTTGTCAATTGCGTATCCAGAACGCGTCAGAAATTCCAGAAAGTTATAACCGCCTACGCTATGTATACGAAGCGCTGTGCAACTGTCCATGACTTCGTTTTGGGCGGTTACTATACCTTGCGTACACTTGGTGGTTGTTTTGACGTGAACGCTAGCTTGGGAGGCTCAGACCGAGAACTAAACTGAGGAAAATACCGTTACTACAAGGTATCAACGTCAGCTTGGAATAGTACCCATCACTTGTATTTACATTGATCCAGTGGCACCCGAATCCATTTGTTGTCAACAAATTACTATTAAAAATTGATTAATCTAAGTAAGGACGTGTAACTAAGACGATCTGACATGCTTTGCTGTCCTCGCGAATGCAGGTCGACACTAACTTGTTGTGAAATGCAGACGCTGAAGCGCCAACTCATTATGTCGATTCAAACCCATCACATCACCAGAAGGACAGAACGCGAGAGAACCTTTGAGACCTACCTAAATAACTAAATAATAAATAAATCACATAAATCACATTAGCCAAGTGTGCCTCTGACGTGTCAGACTAGAAACGTTACCTTAGCAGCAGTGCATGGGAAAGGGAGCAAGACGGCTCAGTGGTTATGTCGCCAATTTACTGACCGGAAGGTTTGAACATGATCTCTGCATCTCGATTTCTGGCTAGACTTGGACAACCTGACAGTATCCCAGCCTTCGTGCTCTCCTCCGGGAGGCTTGGCCGCCAGGCACTGAAAGTGTTACAACTGGACGCTTATCTCATCATGTAAGGCGTAGGAAAACAGTTGCGAAACGCCAAAGTCGGCCGTACTCGTGAGTGGATACTGCTGTACGACCGGATTTGGTTAGTGTCAGAGAGTACTGAACAGCACCGAAATGGGAGTGGTGGTAAATACTTCTAGCTCATTCACCTGCTCGATTGGTCCCTATGGCTATGTAGCGCGGAGGTAACCCCGAGGTTCACTGTGTTTAACTTATCGGAAGATGTCTTTCATAACAGATCCTACTCTTGATATAGATGAAATCTCACCGATAGGCCACCAACGACTTCGACTTATGTGAAACTCATCAGGTTGGCGTAATCTCCGAATTACAGCCAAGCTTTTGTCTCACTTCAACTTCAAGTCCTGTTTCCACGGCCTAATTGCTCTCTTGTCATGGAGAATACCATAAGCAATCGGTTCATTTGCTGCTGGTTTGACCATTCCCGCATGCTACAATCACAATGTTGGAAGGAAGACCTGTAAACGAATTTCAATAAGCTGTTTCCCGTCAAAGCATTCTTTGGTCACCCACTTTCTGCATGCTCTAGGTCCGAATTGGGAAAAGGTGTGAATGGCGATGAAGCGGCCGTGTTGGGTGCTGTCTATCAGGCTGCCGCGCGTACTCCTGGTTTCAAGGTCGCGCGTCTTATTCTGCGTGATTACAACCCCCATGCGATTGCCGTAAGTCCCCAACAGCGTTTCGCTGTATCTTTTTTGTCCGTTTTTTGTTTGAGCTTGCTCGTTTCTGCCAACTGGCGTGTGCGAACTAAACACATCGATTTGTGGACGCACACTACCATGCACAAAATCTGCGGTTTTCTCTTCCGTAGGTCGATTTTGAACGGGCACCGGCTGCGGCATCCGGTAAGGGGGACAAAACAGCCCCCAATCCAGAAAGCTCCAACAGTACTTCCCCACACGCGCGAATGGTTCTGTTTCCACGTGGAAGTCCGTACCCCTTGAAGCGTGCAATTACCTTCAACCGGCATATGGATGACCTGACATTTTACGTAAACCATGTTGATGTTCCACCGAGGGATATCGCGTGAGTAAACGCTTGAGATGTATTCCTTTCCTTGCTTGTTACGACTTCTTATTCCACGTAAACACTGGATTCCTAGATTAACTGTTTTTTGTCCTCTTCTTGGTAGATTATCGTATCCTGCTGCTTGACTCAGCCTCATCTCACACTTTGGACACACTGTTCTTCAGAAAAATTGCTCCCCAGAGGAAAACTAGAATGATGACATTCTTAACTCGTGCTGTGGCTGTGTGTGGTCCCCAGTCAGACAATTCTGTGGGCACCTTACCCAATACCATTTGTTTATATCAGCTCGTCCTTCGTCTTATCAGTGATCCAAAGCGGTTAATGAACCATCGACTGACACTTGAATATCTCGCTTCTGTGCTCTTCTAATCTCTCCTATTCATACCGTATCTGCTAATCTGGAAAAAGTGAAGTATTTTTAGAATGGACAGTCTTAGACCTTTTTTGATTCTCAGAATGTTTTGCCTAAGAGCCATTTTTCTGCTGAACACTGAACTTATCAGGCTTGCCTATGAAGGTGGCTACGCAGTTTACGTTGTCCAGGGCGTAATTTTTGATAAGCGGACTCCGACGGCAACCAGCCGGTCAGAAGGTCTGCGTGAATTAGGACAATGCAGTGGAGTGTAAGTAATGTGAATATGAGCGGACCTTGAGTTTCCACATTCGCACTTCAACCCCTCCCCCAATACACCATGAACATCAAAGTAGAGGGTTGTCCGGTGGTTACAATGTCTCAAAACCATCTAGATGTGTTATCTGAGTACAGCTGCCTGACCTCCATCGCTCCCAGTCTTCGTCATCTTGCCGTCTGCCACTATCAAACTTGAAGAGCCTGAACAAACAGAATTCAGGTAGATCACAGACGGGAAGATTGATCTGAACGAAAGTTGGATGAACCTACGATTTCCTAGTTGGTGATCCTTCGCTGAAAAACATATTTCTCTGGAAGGAACATTGGTTGTATTCTTATACTTAACCATGAGAAGGTTGTGCTCAAATACCAGGAGAGTCCATAACTAACAACAACTGACCCCGAATTAGAACACAATCGGGCTTCCAAATGCGTATTTTGCTATGGTTCGAATGGAGCACGTTTGAACGAGTAATGGAAGATCGAAAGTAAGAGAGCAATAGCTTAGCCGTCATTGGCAAGAATAATGTGGTATGGAGGTCTACTCAACAGCAAGGGATCGATGCAGAATGACTGAAGTAATTAAAAACATTGTTGATGAGCTATAGGGAAATCTATGTGTGTTAGTTGCAGGTTTCACCCTTTGAAGCGATCTCTGATGCTTTAGCTTAGCCGCATTGGCAAGAATAATGTGGTATGGAGGTCTACTCAACAGCAAGGGATCGATGCAGAATGACTGAAGTAATTAAAAACATTGTTGATGAGCTATAGGGAAATCTATGTGTGTTAGTTGCAGGTTTCACCCTTTGAAGCGATCTCTGATGCTTTGATTTGACGCGGGGCCTTCGGGACCATACCGATCTTTTTTTGCTTCGAAATGAAGGACAACTCCATACACATGCATTTACGGCCATTATAAAACCAGCCTACTGCATTTGCGCAATTCAGCTGATATGCTATCCAACATATGGCGTAGACCTGAACTACGATTCAATCTGCCAATCACGGGCAAACGGGCGACACACGTGTGTACTTTAGTCTGGATTTAGCCTGGGTACATCAAATGCACCGTTTCTTCACAGCAGAGCGATCCGTTCCCAGTCACTTTTGTTGAAAAACAGTCCGTAAATTCCATTAACTAGTTTTCAGCAACATTAAGAGGCAAGAAAACATACTGCGATATGTTGAATATCGTTCCATCTGAAACATGAGGCGGCTCTTATGCAGCACTCTCTATTAAGGTCTGTCGTGCACGACAGATTTCGCTGAATCTCCCGTCAGATGAGTATGTTTCGTTGGGCTAATAGAGTTCACCACTACATCGTTGCTGCAGGATGAATCTACGTCAACGTAGTTCGGTTATTAAAGAGGTAGAAGCTGGGTGGCAACGAATTTTTCGTACAGAAAACTACGGGGTCGGTTGCCCTTGAATGCATTCAGTCAGACCCACAGAACTCAACTCGTCACGTAATCATAAACCGATCATCTTTCTGGAGATGTCAGTGGCCGAACTTGATAGGCGTACTGCAGGGTCACTCCGAAATCTCGGTACTCAATCGGGTTTCACCGGGAGCCAGAGCAGAGTTGACTGTTCAGTGAGCAAACTTTTTGACGAGTTTGGCGTCTCCACTTTCGTTCGCAGTTGGATTAACTCTAACCCTTCCCCACTGTCTCTTTTGTGACTACACGAAATCAGTTATCTGGGCGCGACCAACTTGACTGTAGTCACCACGAATGGTGTCGCTTCAGTGGTGGAGCGTTTCAAGCAGGCAGAAATGCGCGGTGTCAAAGCACACTTCATGCTGGATCACAGTGGACTATTGGTTTTGACTGGTGTCGATTGCGTTCTACATCCGCTTACCGAAACTCCAGCCGAATCAGCACCGAAGGACGAGTCAACTTTGCAAAGTGAGTTGGCATGTTCGTTTTGCAGACCTGTGTTTATGATTAGGTAGCTTGAATGGATGTATCGTAACTCTGTTCTGTTTCACGACTATGCACGCTCTCGACCGTGTGTCGTTACGCGTCAAAATCCTCGTCTCCCTAAGGTTGCTGTAGGTATTATGATTGAACGACACTAGAGGCTGACACATGCAATCACAGCGGGATCAGATAGGCGAGAACTTGCTAATGTAGGTCCAACCTTCTGTAGCTAATAAACTCGGGTTCATTGGACCGGTCCGGAAAGCAACCGTGTGTGATGTCCTAATGGGTCACTGATTAGATTTCGTACGGGTGCACCGCAAGCGGTATTTCGCAGGAATTCTAGGGACCACAAGGTTCGGAATCAAATGACCAGGTACTTTACAACCGTTTGGCACATCTGTAGGCTCACACTTCACAAGACAATGACCGTGAGCCGATATACTCTGGTCGCCTTCAGTATTGCTATTCACGAAAATAACACAACAACTCACTACAGCTTCTCTCTCGTTGGCATTGGTGCCTTCGCCCTCTTTGTTCATCGGAAGTTCTTCGATCGATTTACTTTGGTTTCAGAGCTTGGCAACAAAATCAGTGGCTTCTTTGGTGGTGGAAGTAGCACTGAATCTGAACAAACCGTCCCAGAGACCGGTTCAAATAGTACCGCTGAAACTCAGACCAACAATACTTGTTCCAAAGACCGGTTCAAATAGTACCGCTGAACCTCAGACCAACGATACTTCGTCCACGAACACAACAGACACAAAGTCCGTCGGAGATAATGTAAGTCCTGGTTGAGATTGTAACTGACGCTAGTAAGTTTTCTATGGACAGTTATCGACTCCTTCACCATTAATGACTATAATTGATTGTCCATCGTCATCCCTTAACCAGCCCTTTCATTATGTTTTCTCCTAATTACGTTTTTAGGCGGCAAAATGTGGTCTTCCAACATGCACTTTCCCGCTATTTGTCAGCCTTCTGTTGGTCAGTAATAGCCTTACATCTGGAAGTTACCCTGCAGAATTACGAGACTGTTTATGACTTCATAGTAATGCTTAAACTGGTTCTTCTGGTGGGTGTCATGAAAAAGTGCATCTCATTAAGTTGCTAGCAACCGAAATCTTTACCCGATGACTTCACACATTTTGTCTCTGCGCGGCTCTGTGCAGCTGTTCGGCCGACTCTTAGACAGTGGGGGCAGTTGGCGTTTTTGGAAGGGAGTGCATACGGTCAATCATGCATAGTCATCATCATCATCAAAGACAGCAACATTGTTGGTACGGATGCTTCACTTCCGTAGGTCACGAAGAGTTTGGACCTTACCGTGGTGTGGCGGTTTGTGTACCTCGGCTACCCATTGAGCTATACTGGGGAGTGTCCGCACGATGCTCACAGATGTTCTCATACCAGGTTGGTCCATTGGTAGAGGTCCGACGAACACAGTCTCTTGGCCCTCCACGTTGGGGGTTCGAACATGTATGGCGAGGTGTTCCGTAAAAAATGGTAATGTACTTGCATTTCCAGCCGAACACCGCTGCCTTGCGGTTAGGCTTTTGAGCCGAAGGTTTCGGTTGAGGACCCTAATCGTCCTGTTTAGGTGTGGGCGCCCCGGCAACATCCCAGCCCTCGTACAACCATGACATACACAACTAACAACATCCTCATGCCATATCGGCCGTCGCGTGGTCAATCATGCAGGCCTTTTTTATTCACGTGGCTATCTTCTAATAACTCGTAAGGTCGAGCGTGATCTAGTTTCGTTTGTTGAAGAATTCGGCGTCGCTTGTCTTAACCAGTGTGGAGAGGAGACGTTGTTTGCAATGTGTTACAATTTTTTTTACCGTCAACGTCAACCTTTGTAAAACAAACTGAACTGGTGGTCGTTGGCTTGTTCGGTGAGCTGGGTAATTTGATTGCAAACGTTTCATCACCAATCGAGGTGACATCATCAGTGCGTTATTGTGGAGCGTAGTAGTGCTCATCAGTGCGTTATTGTAGAGCGTAGTAGTGCGTAGCGATGAGTTGGTGGATGTGCCAACCAACCACCACAACAACCACACAACCCACCATCACAACAACCACCAACCCACCGCTACGCACTACTACGCTCCACAATAACGCACTGATGATGTCGCCTCGATTAGTGATGAAACGTTTACAATCAAATTGCCCAGCTCAGCGAACAAGCCAACGACCGCCATCTACGCGCTACCTGAGCTACCAACATTTTCCTCTATAGAAAAACAAACTGAACTGTACCGTATCCTGATCGATAACGAAGTAGCTACTCAAGAAAGGTCACTCTGCTGACCTTTGTCAAACATTCAGGGTTCTTTCACACAAGCGTGACCCTCGACAGATGGATATCAGTGGAGTGCTTCCTATTCGGACGCTGTAGCCAAACTCCTATGTATAAGGAGTTTGTGCTTGAAGAGTGTGAAAATAAGGAAAAGAAAGCGTTCAGCTGTAGCACCCTTTCGGTGCCTAGCTGCCATGCCACCCGAAGAAAGCACGAGGGCTGGGATACTGCCAGGTTGCCGAAGCCTAGACAGGGGAAGTCGAGTGGCGGAGGTCGGATTCGAACCACGGACCTTCCGGTCAGTGAATTCGCGCTCTAACCATTTGGGCCATCTCGCTTGAAGGGTGTACATCTTGGAGGTGATTTTTCTCAAGTTTTCAAGCCACATTCCATACTCATTTTATCATCTTCGTACTTTGCTGCGTTTGCTTGATGGGTGGCGAGGGTGAATGATCTGGTACCAGTTGCCTTCGTTCTGCACTGTTCTATTTCCATTCGAGTTAGTTAAAACTGAAGTTTAGTTGGTTAATTAGTGATTTCGTCTTCCTTCTCTTAGCTGACGATCTCAGTTTTTCACGGTCGTCATAAAATACGTCCTCGAACATCGTTAGTTGTTAAGGTTAGTGTAACTCTAAAGGACAAGCGTGCCAAATTTTCCTACCGAGGTCTTTTGGCTGACACGTCGGTGTGCTATGTGGTCGGTTCACCTAGTAGGTTTTGTACGTTGCTCCGCTCTGCTCAAGGGAGGTTACCGCTGTTAAAGAGGATTTTTAGCTTCTCCTGAAGTCCGTGAAGGGACACTTTGCATGGCTGACAGGGGTTTCTCTTGGACAGTATTGTGTGTGGAAGCCATATTTTCGACCAACCTCTCTCTGATTGTCGCCTCTGTTGAGTTGTACGCGGTTGCATTCGTGAGGATCGCACTTCAGTTGATCTCTTACCATCAAATTTTTGGTCTAATCGCATTTTGCAACAAATACCAAGTTGTACGCTCTCTGTACGATTATGGAATGCTATCTGTCATAGGTGTCTGATGCCTGAAGTGAAAGCCGCCGCTGTGTACGGAAGTCGTGACCGTGCACAAATCTATTATACCAATGGAACCTTTCATCTTATTTCTATCCCCTCT